CGCTTCTCAGCTGCGCACCAGACCACAGTTTGTTACATTGTTTCATTTTTCAGAAGGTTCGGTTTGCGTTCACACGGGCAAAACTCAAACGGACTATAGACTTTAAACACAAGTCATGTGCTCGGAAATGCTGTTCAACCATTGGTCAGACATTAAAGGGGGAAAAACGTCAAATCCCGGCAATTTCTACCGGAGCCTCCGCCATGGAGCATCGGCACTTTCGGCAGGTTATTCTTCATGCTGCTGTTAATCTGGAGATCAACAGACTCTAGCGGCCCGCGCATATGATTATATAATCAGACAATGTCCGNTAGTTGTAAGCACAGTGGCGATCTGTTGTTATTAGCATCTGGTTAGCTAGCTATGCTAACGAATTTAAAGAGCTTTTCTACAACCAGGTGGAAGAGAGCTCTCTCCTGAGAGGCTCAAATAACCTCAGCTCAGTGAGGTTAAGGCACACCTTGATATGATCATTATAGTTATTAATGAGACATTAGAGACTCAATTATTAACAGGTATAAAATACTATATGACAGTAACAAAAAAAAGTTGTTAAAAATAACAAGAATAGAGTTTGAAAGGGGAGTGATTTGTAAAATATCCCAAAAGAAAAATCTGTCATTGTCAGATGGTATATTACGCTGTTTTTTTTCTGCTTCGAATAGTTCTCTCTTTTTTCACCATAGCTGTGTTTGCATCACTGGGTATGAGAGACACCTATTTTAGCGGACCAGAGTCCGGTTGTTTAGTTCACTTCAGAGGTCTCGGACTGCGTTCACACCGACCCAAACGAACCGCACCAAGCGGCTAAACGCACCAGGGTTCGATTCAACCGGACTATGCAAGGCAGGTGTGAACGCACCCGAATACATGTTCATTTATTTGTATCATTAGACGCAAGTACATTCGTTTTTCAGTGTAAGGATGTTTTCACATTTGAGAAACAGTGTGCTTTTTCTGTGTAAAGTTAACATTGTAGTGTTTGTGTAAAGGTTAAAGTCTGCGCTCGGGAGGAAAGCTATCAAACAGAGTTGTTGTTGAGGTGGCAGCATGATTTATTTAGTTTCTTTGCAGCGGGGTTCTGTGAAAACAGAGGATGCATTGGTCAAACAAACAGCTTCAGTTCAGCACACATGAATCAAATTCCAGGCGAAGCTTTTAACAGATAATGGGACACCTATTGGCATCCGTTTCCTTGTTTTCTATGAGCTCGATATGCACTTTGAGTAAAAAAAAAAGGCATCAATAAATAAGGCAATATTGAAAATAGCAACAAATAAAGACTGATTACATTTTTGTTTGATCTTTACATCACAGTGCAATATATTTAAGGCAAGGAGACAAGCAAGAAGTTACACAACACAAAATACAATCAGTAAAATCACTCAGGAAAAATAGATCTCTAGAGGAGTTAACTGGTACATGCTGAGAGTGAGAACAACCCACTTGTGCACATTTACACATATACCTACACACAGCACAGATACACAACAGCTTTGATTGGAAATCAACAGATGTCATGAGTAAGAGGGGACTGGTGATGGTGTTTTTAGTTCTGCTCAGACAAAAATCAGGATTTGCTGAATATTGATTACATTTTCTATTCATCCCTGCAATAAAATTCTCCCCTCTGCGTCACAGGGGAAATCAGAGGTGAGGGTCTACAAAACCTGCATCCCTGATCAGGTAGAGTGTGAAGCCACCATTATGGAGTCACAAACTGGGAATACACCCTGAATTGTTTCACATTTTCTTCTGCGACATATATAAACCAGAATGCTCATTAAGTGCCATACGTTGTGCTTGAGAAATACCCTTTTTCTGATTCCTGAGTCTAGAATCTATGCGTTGCTGTTCTCTATATTTACATTCTTACCTGAGGGCAAAAAAGAAAGTACCCCCATTAAACTAATGATGTACCACACAGTCAATAAATGTCATGCAAAAAAATTGACATTGGTATGCGGGGCTGGTTACATCTGCGGCACACATGTGGTGATTTTTGTATGTGCTCTTCTGCTGTGATTTCAACAGAATCTTGTTTGATCTAAGTGTTTTGAGCAGCTTGGAAAATCACAAGGGTAATGATGTGCTTTGTCCTGCGTTATCCTTCTAACTTAGAAAAATTGTAAAAAAAAAAGGTAAAAGCCCATTTTAGTGGATGTTCCCTGTACCGGCTTTCATCTCCTCTTTTATGATTGGCACACAATAAAGTGAGGGAAATCAATGAGGTTAAAGTAAATGTTGGTTGTTCACTGAGATGCAGTGTTTACCAAGGATATCCCATAGTAACGTTTCTCACAGTCTCTGTTAAGAGGTGGATTACACTCTCAAACCTGGAGGTAGTCTGTCATATACTATATATCTATTTGCTAGATATACACAGTACACACACTGTGTCATGTATGTTACAAAAGCTGTGACATTCAAGTGCCAAGATCCACGTAGATATATAAAGAATATAATATGTATAAGCACGGTATTTTTCATTTTCTTTGACACTGAACAACAAGAAAAGTGTGATAAAAGAGAAATGATTTGTAAATGAACCACAGTGTAAGCATGTGTTTTTCACATTGTCCATAGTGGTGATGCTTACTTCAAAATGGCACTTTAGCACGGCGTTTACCACGACACAAAATATCTCTTCAGAGTGATAATCTATATTACAAGGTGTTTGTAAGCCTACCTCTTAAGCAACCTGACTCACGTAACCAAAGTTATCAATCATTTACAGCCGAGGCACAACAGAGCCAGTCCACAGTGATTACAGCTCAGAGTCTCAAAGTCCTTGTCGGATCAGTTTTCATTAAAATGGCTGATTGAATCTGTCAGGGTCGCAGATCGCCAACAGGCTGCTCACACAAACAGGAGGGCGTGTGAGCAGCAGAAAATCTCTTTGAAGGTTTTCCTCATCTCTTGGCTGCGAAAGGCGTAGATGATGGGGTCGATGACGGAGTTGCACATGATGAGGATGAGGTACATGTTGAAGTGGGACATGAAGCAGGTGCAGTAGGGGTTCCTGGGGCAGGTGATCATGAGGATGAGGTGAAGGAAAAAGGGCGCCCAGCACACCACGAACACCCCGAGGAGGATGGTGAGGGTGATGGCGCCCTTCATGTTGGCTCGCTGGTGGATGGGCGCGTTGCCCGGCAGCGCTGCGATGCGTTTCATGTGCAGGCGCGCCAGCAGGAACATGTGGACGTACAGCGAGGCCATGAGCACCAGCATGGTGAAGAACATGGTGATGAGGCAGATGAGGACCGTGGTGCTCTCTGAGTAGATGATGAAGAGGATGCCGGACACCGTGCAGCACGTCCAGATGCTGCTGATCACCAGCATGGCTCTCCGCAGGGTCACGATGTTATGGTAGCGGAGAGCGTAGAAGATGGTGATGTAGCGGTCAACGGCGATGGCGAGCAAGCTGCAGATAGACGCCAACAGAGAGCTGCAGATCAAAGAGTCAAACACATTGTCCATGTTTTTGATCAACGTAACGGGGATGGTGAGGCTGCCTCCGTTGATGAGCGCTATGACGATCGTCTCCGAGGCGTTAGAGACGCTGACCAGCATGTCGGCCACTGCCAGGCTACAAATAAAGAAGTACATAGGCGAGTGAAGGTTCTTGTTTTTGATTATGGCGGTTACAACCAGAATGTTCTCCAGCAGGCTGACGATGCCCAGAGTCAGGAACACCTCTGTGGAAATCAGCAGCTGTTCGTAGCATCCTGCAGATGAGTCCTTGTCCTTGGCTGAGGAGTCTTTGTTCAGCGGCACAATGCCTGAGGTTTGGCTCCTGTTATGGTAGCCATGGATCAACCCATGGTGCTCCGTGCTGTTCATAATGTCTCCTTTTAAATTCCCTGTCTTCTTTTCCCACGTTGTTATTTCTCCATCTGCGTTAGAATCTCAACAGTTACGCTTCTGGAGGACAACATAGGCACGCTTAAAAGAGAATGAAACAATTCCTCACCCTTCAAGAAAGGCAATTATCTTCAAACATCTGCTGCTGCTGTTACTCTCAGACACAAACAACCCTCTCATCTCTCCAGTAAGAAGTTCAAATAACTGTTCCTTAGACGCGAGAGAGATTGAATGGAGCAGAAGCAGAGAGGTGCGTGCTGGAAGGAGCATGTGGGAGAATGATTAACAGAGCGCGGGAACAGCGATCAGAGAGCAGCAGCTCCATGTGTGAGAGCAGGCAGATCATCACTTAGAAAGCCACTGGCCTCCCCCTCTGTCTATCTCTCTCTGCTATTATGCCAGGCACACACACACAGACACACACCACACACACCCCCATGGATTTTGGTCCTATCCGCTCGCTGATAAGGTGAGAGGAGGAGCAAAGTTTGCCTTGACGCACGAATGAGCAAATAAAAGCTTTTTACAAAATGTGAAATGGATATTTGAAAAGAAAAAGTCAGCATATTCACGTCTAAAAATCTAAGTCAAGTTCTTGCAAGGTTTTCTACGGAGCCCTGGAGGGTTCATAGAGAGACAAATAAATAAAACGTGGCCACGTTTTACTTTCTCGTGCGCACGAGAAACCTTCTCGTGCGCACGAGTTAATAAAGCGTGCGCACGAGTTAATAAAGCGTGTGCACAAGTTACTAAAGCGTGCGCACGAGTTAATAAAGCGTGGCCTCGTTTTGTGTGTGTGGGGCATTTGTTTATGATAGTATCGTTCGTTTCGGTGTACTCCGGCAGGACTACACTACATCGAGATTAAGATTAAATGAATTTCTTTCACTTGGGAATACACTTATAACTATGGAGAACCAGATTTGTGTAAATTACTGTTCGTGGTAATTTGAAAACAAATGCCGGTGGTGTCGGTCGGACACACACAAACACACCGAACACGCAAGCTGAGCGCACGCACGCACGCACGCACGCACGCGTACACACACACACACACACACACACACACACACACACACACACACACACACACACACACACACACACACACACACACACACACACACACACACACACACACACACACACACACACACACACACACCATGCGCCCCGGTGACAGGACATCTCCTTCATAAAACGAAGGGAATACTCTGGTAGTTCGATGTGTGTAGAGGTGTGTGTGGTTAAACGTAGCAGCCTCGATCTCTATTCAGCGGTTCTAATGAAGGGAAACACAATGAAGTAAACAGTAAAAGGCACAGCTCTTTGCAGCTGGTGCTGCTCTTCTCAGATTCTGCTGAGTTACACGATACTGCCTCCAGTGCCCTGAACGCGAAGCCAGTTCAACAGACCCTGGATATGTTCGATTTACCCGGCTTAACTAACCCTAACAGACGCGATGTCGATAAGCGGTCCTACGAAGCTGGTTATCAACTCAGTAAATCAACCAGGGTTTCTCTGACCGGCTGAGAGCACGTTCACGTGAAAGGGACGGGGTTAGCAACATTTGACCAATCACAAACATGGAGACGCGTGCTGACAGCGCAGCGTCATACTTCATGAGTGAATAGTGTAAATAGCGAATCCTGCTTCGTAGTACAGGCCACTGGTGCCGCAGAGATTTCATAAAGTGAAGGAGGTTTTCCTTCTATAAAACAGCTGTGGGCAGCAGATACTGTGAGTCACGGACAGGAATCCCTCAATTTAAATAAAACGAGGCCAAGCTTTATTAACTCGTGCGCAAACTTTATTAATAAATAAAATACGTGGCCACGTTTTATTTATTTTTTCTCAATGAACCCTCCAGGGCTCCGTAGTTTTCTTTTGTATCACTGATGATCTATTAGCTCTGCACACGAATAAAACGACTGTGACTAGCAGTTATTTCACCGTACATATTTGTTATCTGAAATGTATAAGAGTTGAATGTAGAGTTGGATGGCTACAAAAAAAACAATACACAGAGTTTTCATGACAGCACTGGCAGTTTTGCTGATGTATTTGGCAGGAAATCAGTGAAAGATAATGGCTTGAAAACATATTTATCTATGCTGTTGCACAAAATTGACAGTATCCAACACTTTTTAGTTTTAGTTAACTATTTTGAAACAATTCTCAGTCACGATAAACACTAACAGTCGATAGCAATAATACACACACATAACCTTTGTTGTATAATAAACCATTGCATATAGAACAAACATTATTTCATATTTAAAAAGCAGAGTGCCACTCACAGTGTGGGCGTTTTTTTCGTTAATTATTATAATTATAATCTGCTTCATATGCACTTGTGTAATTTTTTTGTAATAACTGTCACAAAAGCTACAAACGTGTGATGAAAACAATGTTTTGTAGTACTATATATAATCTACTAATCGAGCGAAACACTAATGCACCGCCGGTTTCCTGCTGCCAACTTGTAATTAAGGTAGTTACAGCAAACTAATGGACATCCTATTATTTTAATAAGCTATACATGACCTTTACATAATCAATCATGTAACAGTGAAAGGGCCAGTTTCTAGGATTTTGTGTGGAGTAAAAGGAGCGCTATTATGCTCATTTTCAGGTTCATATTAGTATTTAGTGTCTCTACTGTGACATGTCTCCATGCTTTAATGTTCAAAAAGCTCTCATACTGCCTGTGCTGCAGCACCTCTTTTCACCCTCTGTCTGAAACCAGAGCTCAGTCTGCTCTGATAACATAAAAAATATGCAATATGTGCAATCCAATTGAACCTGGGTCCCTTAAATCTTCAATATAGACTCAAAATTGATCAAAATAGGACCACGAAGAGTACAAATAAGGACATTCTCTGGTTAAAAATGACATTTCAGGCCGTGAAAATATCAGAAGGTGACTCATCATCCTCAATAACCCCCAATAACACTCGAAAATTGGCAACACTGGCCAAGCAATTTTTTACCTAATGTCCCCATGGCTATGGTAATTCATGCTAATTAACGCACTTAAGCTAAATGTGTAAATTACCAAACTAATTCAAGTTAGCATCCGGCATTTCTAACATAAATCTTTGTTGTAATCAACCTTTCTGTGTTCACAACAGGACTCCATGAGCTGGCAACTATAGACTCATTTATAAAGATGTAAAGACAAGGCTATGTATTCACTTTAAATGATGTTGCACAGGAAATACTGGATGAATAGTTTGGGATCACAAGTTTGGAGGACCTGTTTTTCTGGGAAGTTAAGCAATGAAGAAAAACCCAATTAAATCTGAATGAAGTAGACCTAGGGTTCAATACATAACAAGCAGATGGAATAACCCGAACTACAAAGCACAGAAACAAAGAGAAAGGTTAAGTTGTGCCATGAGTCGTTAAAATAAACAGTGCCAATTATTTATTTGAAAATAGATGTCGCAAATTACTATTGTTGTGAATTTGTAAAACTTTAGTACAGCACTCAAAGCAACTGCACGGACTACTGAGGAATCCAATCAGCGTAATGCATGATTCATGAAGAAGTGGACACAAAAGGAGCCCAGTGCAAGGGTGTTTGTGACGAAACACCTTGTGAAAAGTGTAACCATGGTAAACGTGTGGAGCAAGCCAGTGGATAAAACACACATATCTTTATATCCAACAAGCAAACAGTCCTTTCAAAGCTAAGGTAGATTCATGTTCGCTTTTAGAAAGCATCATTTTGAGGTTAAAGTATGTTTCATTGGTCCAGCCTTGCAGGGCATTAAAAGCTGCAGTGAGTTGCGACACACTTCAGAATTCTAGTATAAAGTTTTATTGAACGTACTATCTTCAAAGAAACAAATCACAAATGCAGTTTCATCTAGAATAAATACATGGCAACGACTGTGTCCTGAGTGGCTTGGAGCATTACGATTCACAAATGGAAAGCCCCCAGTTGGAACATGTAGAGCACAACAATCTACTCTAAGTGGCATAGTAATGGCACTCTATTGTTGCTTTAATGTTCGAAGGAATTATGGAAATAATTTCACTGTACTAGGTTGAGCGTCACAGTATTTCGTAAGTGAAGAGACCTGGAACGTGTGAGGATTCAAGCAGTGAGGTTTTGCATTTTAAAAACACACTAAGACCTTTGTCCATAAAGTTGCTGAACAATCTTTAACCCAGAAAAAAAATTACATTTAAGAGTCCATATTATGCTTTTATGTGGTGTGTTATATAGGTTTTTGTGCATTTAAACGGTCTGCAAAGGCTAAAATCCCTCTTTAAATGTTATCATTACAAAACAAAACATTAGTATCATGATTAAAAAATGCATTCACGATGTGTTTTAAACTCTACAAATCCAGGTTAAGGCCACAATCAGTTAGAATCCATCAGTGCTTTTTGACAACTGAAGGACAGTCAAACAACGTTTTGCTTGAGTTCACATGGATCTACTGCACGATAACTTGTGTCCATAACTAAATGTGCAAGCACAGAAGCAAGGGCTAATTGTTGGTAAAAGAAGCTTAGATTGCTGAAGTAAAATAACATGTTTTGGGTTGGAGGAGAACAGAGTCCATAAACAACCTCGGTTCAGAAAATGGAGACAAAACATGACCTTTATTTAAGAGACCTTCACATACCTGTACGCACAAATAAAAAAAGTTTTTGTCATTAGTTGTTTGTTAAATCAGTGCCAAGGACATGCTGAGGTTCTCGTCAGCTCCACAGAATAAATGTAAGAAAATAAATGTTGCAATGCTGCTGTATAACCTTGTGGTGAGGGTGAGTCATCACAGAGGTACAGTAGGAGTAAATTGTGCTTATAATCGTAATAAGTAGGTACAAATATACAATTTATAGAAATAGTATTAAAATTAAACTGCCAGCATTTTTTTTAAATATATTTTACTGTCAGTTCTCTGTCAAATGTCCTTTTTAATTATGTTGTCATATTTAGTCAACCTACTGCTTCTTCTTAATAATATCTTAATACAACAAGTCTGGGTAATTTAGCCTTTTCCACATATTTTCATTTAAAACCACAATTTTTTTTTTATTATTTTGGACATTTTTCATCATCCAATATTTTTTAACCTAAGAGTAAATAATCTAGCTGACAAGGTCTTCAAACTACATTTTAGGGTTAAAAATGTTAACAGGTTTTTAATGAGAAATGGACACAATCTTTAATGAAATCGATGCCATTCCATAATCGTCTGATCTTAATCATTGAAAAGAAAACTGGCTGACGACCATACTGTTTTGACTCATAGCATCTGTTAATAAAATGAACACTAAACATACAGAACAAACTGTACATGGAGTGCATGTATGTAATGCTTACTTAGT